TGTTGCACTTTACAAAGAATACTACCATATGAACATTGACTTAGAGTTGAGCCGCAGTGAATGAATTTTGGTGCGTCATTAAATGAAATTTTACTTAATATTTCCCAGTGTTTACATTCTTCAGTACCCTGAGTACGTGGACTTCTGGAGAGGTAATTGACCTTAAGGTTTCAGACGTCTGTAAGAATGTAATTATTGTAAAGCACTTACGCTGTTTTCTCAACATGAACAGAGCACCACACGTACTTCTCAATCTTCCCAATATCTACTGCCTGCAACCGGTCACCTAACATGAACTGAAAGTATTTTCGTCACGTGATATCCTGTCGGGCATTTTCTGTACTATTATTAACATTAAGCTTATTATTATCAACATTTGAATGTATATATTTAAATATTCTGTAGTTATATTTTTCACTGCGAAATTTTTAACATCTTTATGAGAATTAGGAATTTATTTCATAATCATCTTAATTTGTTTCTCATTTCTTTCCTAATTTTGTCATTGAGCAAGCCCTGGTATCACTTCCTACGGGAAAAGAAAAGCATGGTTCCTGGTTCTACTCTTAGACTGTGAAGATGGAGGCAGTGCATTTCTCCAAAACTTCGGTAAATTTCTAGCTTTAGAAATTGCGATTTTATCTTATTGCTAGTGGGGTGGGACTAAGTCCCCTGGACTGCGGCCACTTCAGGCCTATTGTACCAGCCCCAGATAATAGGTGAGGGTGATTGTGGAGCAATTGGTGGAATGAAGATTGGCAGGGGAAACCGAAGTACTCGGAGAAAACCTGCCCCAGCGCCACTTTGGTCACCACAAATCCCACTTGACCAGACCCGGGATCGAACCCGGGCCGCCGTGGTGGGAAGCCAGCGACTAACCGCTTCAGCTATGGCGCGGCCATTTCAGAGAGTATATACGGTAACTTAAAGGGTTGTGTGTGTGTGTGTGTGTGTGTGTGTGTGTGTGCGTGTCTCCCAGGAGTAAAGGTCAATATTCTGAGAGGTCATAGTATTGGTCATTCTAAGCAAAAAATGTATGTGTACATGTGCCCTATCCCGAACGTTTTCTGAGGTACAGCTATTTCAGTGTACAGTTCCAAAATTGTTAATATGAAAGATATATTGCGTAATTTTTCAAATACCGGTAATTACTGTTCAAGCTGCGAAGTTGATACAGTTCACCTAATATAATACATTTTCGAAAATTTCACCATCAGTGCAGTTTGCAGCTCGTGTGAGGACATGGCGTGTTGCTTGTCTGTACAGTGTACAGTGTACCGTGAAGTGAAATAGCTCTATCTCTGAAAGCGTTCGGAATAGGACACACGTACATATACACTGTTTTGCTTAGAATGACCGATAGTGGTCTAGTGGTCAGAGTTCCTGGCTACAGACCCAGAGGTCCCGAGTTCGATTCCCGGCGCCACCAAATTTTCTGAGAAGTAGTGACTCTGGAATGGGGTCCATTCAGCCTCGTGAGGATAATTGAGGAGCTTCTTGAATGGAAAAGCAGCGGCTCCGGTCTAGAAAACTGAGATTAGCGGCCGTGGGAATCCGTTGTGCTGACCACACGACACCCTCTATCCACAACAGTTGGCACTAACTTCGCCGACAAGAAGCGGCGGCTCGGTCGGTATAGCTCGCTTGCGGACTAAAAGCCACGGAAGTTTATGACCGATACTGTGTCGTCTGAGAATATGAATCTTTCATCCTGCGACACTCTGTATGTAGCCCGTAGGGGTATGTGTATGTACAGGAGTGCATGTGTGTGTGCGTGTGCAGTGTGTTTATTTGGATTGTTCAAAGATTCTTTCGATTGCAAAAATTATGTAGCACCAAGACTGCCGTCTTATGAGTTTGCCTACCGAAAAATGTAAGTCACGATAACAATATGTAGATGATATGTGTGGGGCCCCAAAAATGGCCGCAACCTACATCAGGTCGCTGTTGCCTAATTTTGTGCAGAAATTGATGACTGAATACTACGAAATATATTTTTCATGATTGCCACTTTTCCGGCCGGAGTTCGAAATATTTAATTCCAGATCATAAGAAATGCTGCTGTAATTACACCAGCTGTAGCCAAGCTGTCCATTACTATTATTACTATTAATTTCGGCATAATATAGGATGGTTGCATCCAAGTAGCAGGGGCACACAGTCACAGACAGGGTAATGTCAAATTTTAATTCTATGAAGTAGTAACATGCATGAGAAGCTGACGTTCGCTCAGCTGATCAAGATATTCCTCGCTTTTATGGCATCCAGAATTTCATTACCACGTTTTCAAGTGCCTGCCTCCCGTCCCTAACATAAACTGAAATTTAATTTTACAATGTATTTAATGGCTTCAGTGTATTTTGTAGTAGGTGTGCCGTTTTCTGCAGTTCCGTTAAAACATGCGAACCAGAAGACCATAGTGTAAAAAGAATATTAAAATGGATCTTTAAGAAACAGGACGGGAGGGTGCTGCCTGCATGAATCTGACTCTGGGTGCTATAATTGGTCTAGTAAAAGGTTCTGGGTCTAACACTGGGAACAGGGATCTTACCAAGGGCCCGTGTGAGATCGGCGAAATTAATGCATGAAATTAGTTATGATAATGGAGTTAGAGTAGTAAACTTTGCCACATCAAAAAATCTTACTGTCAAAAGTACAATGTTCCCACATCGTAACATCCATAAATTTAATTGGACATCTCATGATGGGAAGATACACAGTCAAATAGACCATATTTTGATAGATAGGAAACGGCACTCAAGTATACTTGATGTCCAATCATTCAGGGCAGCAGACTGTGATATTGGCCACTACCTGGTGGTGGCAAATGTTAAGGAAAGACTGGCAGTGAACAAACAACCAACACACAGAGTTCATATGGAAAGGTTCAATCTCAAGATATTAAATGAGGTAGAGGGCAAAGAGTATCGTGTTGAAATCTCAAATAGGTTCTATTAGAGAAAATTTAAAAATTTCTGCCAAGGAGAGTCTAGGTTATTGTGAACTGAAGAAGCATAAGCCATGGTTTGATGAAGGATGCTCAGAATTATTAGACCAAAGAAAGCGGGCCAAATTGCAATGGTTACAAGATCTAAGCGAAATAAATAGGGATAATCTGAACAATATAAGATGCGAAACCAGCAGGCATTTCAGGAATAAAAAGAGGGAATATCTGAAAGACAAAATTGATGAGTTTGCAACAAACAGTAAGAAGAAGAACATTAGAGACCTGTATAGAGGAATAAATGACTTTAAGAGGGGTTACCAGCCTAGAATTAACTTAGTGAAGGATGGTGATCTGCTTGCAGATTCCCACATCATTTTGAATACGTGGAGGAACTACTTCTCTCAGTTATTGAAGGTACATAGGGTCAGTGATGTTAGGCAGACAGAAATCCATACAGCAGAGCCGTTAGTACCTGATCCTGGCCATTTTGAGTTTGAAAGTGCTACTGAAAAATTGAAACAGTATAAATCGCCAAGCAGCGATCAAATTCTGGCAGAACCTTTTTCAAGCAGGAGGCGAAATATTACATTTTAAGATCTACAAGCTAATTACGTCAATTTGGCATAAGGAAAAACTGCCTGATCAGTGGAAGGAATCTATTATTGTACCAGTTCCCAAGAAGGGTGATAAAACAGACTGTAGTAATTATCAAGGGATATCACTGCTATCAATTTCATACAAAATTTTATCCAATATTCTTCTTTCAAGGTTAAGTCCATATATAGAGAAAATTATTGGGGATCATCAGTGTTGGTTTTGACATAACAGATTAACTACAGATCAGATCTTTTACATTCATCAGATATTGGAGAAAAAATGGGAGTACAATGAAATAGTTCATCAGCTATTCACAGACTTCAAGAAAGCCCATAATTCAATTAAGAGGGAAGTATTGTACAATATTCTGATAAGAGTTTGGGATACCCATGAAATTAGTTAGGCTGATTAAAATGTGTTTAAATGAAACATATAGTAAAGTCCGTATAGGTAAACATTTGTCTGATAACTTTCCTACCCAGAATGGTCTATAACAAGGAGATGCTTTATCGTCACTGCTTTTCAACTTTGCTTTAGAATATGCCATTAGGAAAGTCCAGGAAAACCGGGTGGGGCTGAAATTAACCCTTTGAATGCCAAGTCCTGCCATAGAAGTAACTGCTAAAAATATCATGGCTGCTTTGAAATTAATGTGTTTGCGAAGAAAACCCCATAGTATCTTCTCACATGACCTATATCTCCACAGGAATAGATCGCATGTAAGCCTGTCATTTCCTCAGAACATTGGTAAGTCATATCTCATGCTGTCTACTGACAGAAATTCTGAATTACTGTTTAGTAATAAATCAATATCTTTCATTGCAGTGGTTTTAACAAACATATCTCAAGTCAATCTAATTGGTTTGTGGAATGGAGAGGATTAAAATTGGCAAAAGTAAATCAAATGAAAATGGCTTGACAAACGTTAGTATATATCTACAGGATTTTCATCCAAATCAGACATTTTGGATTTTGATACTTATGGATGGCTGGATGGATGGACAATGATGAAAGCAGTACTTTATTTCTTTCTGCCCCTAATAAAATATCTGTATGTAAGACCATTACACAGTGTTTGCATCAATTTAAGACATCTTTCTGACATTACTTTCAAAGCAAAATTATCCGTAAGTACCATGTGACAGCAGATATCTCTACGACAAGGGCTTTTCATAGTTTGTGAAGTGACAGGGGAAAGATCCTGGGCACTCCTCGTTGAGTCTGAAGCTGATGGTCTCCTTGCAGACTGTGTGCAGGAGGTGGATCTCTCAGATGCTGTACATGTCAGCTGAAATGCTAATTTCTTATCAGATGTCTCTTCATCAGGTATAAACACAGAATAATGAAAACATACATCCTCATTAAATTATAAAGTATAATTTGCCAAATATTGCTTGCGAAAATTTATCCAAACTGTTACACAGCTCTTTAAATGGAAAGTTTTCGTTGAAGTTTATTACTTAAGATGCATTTTAAATTAACATACTTGCAACAGTTTTCTTCATATTCTCCTTTAGCACTTTGATTCCTTGTAGTGAGGAGCAAGGGTGCTGAATTAATTGATGATCCCAAACTCAGTCCACAGTTGTCATAATTCTGGTCTAGCCAATATTTTTAGGGTAACTGTTAGTGGAGAAAAGAAAACCCACCCTTAAAGTTACTATTTGGCTTAAGAGGCAATAAGAGCAGAGGTAAGAAGGGTTTACAGACAAGGTTTGCATTCCTGAGCATTTTGGTT